GTGATAAGAGTTGTATGAGCCCCAATAAAATGATTTAAAATATATGTATAATGCACTCTCAATCCAGGTCCCAGAACATTATTCTTTAAAGATATGGAAAAATTAATCACCAACTTTATAAGAAAAGGAGAGAGCCCCAGGATAAGTAAAACACTACTAAACAACAAAGTGTGAGGCTCTCACTTTCCAACCTCAAACCTACTGCACAGCCATGATAGTCAAAACAGCCTAGTATTGGTGCAATAGATATATAGACCAATGGAACAGAATTGAAAACTCAGAAATAAATCCACCCACCTACAGACAACTGAGAACCAAAGTACGTTAAATGAGAAAGAGACAAATGGTGCAGCAAATTTGAATTTCCATTTAAGACCTACAGATAAAACCTAGAACTATGAAGATCACAATTAAAAAAAGGACAAACTTAGGGGTCCTAATACAATGTATAAATATACTACTAAACATAATAAAAAACACATACAACAGAAAATAAAACAGATGACTGGGACCTCCTAAAGATACTTATGTGCATCAAAAGACTTTACTAAATGAGTACAAAAAGAACCGACCCGCAGATGGTGGAAATGTTGGCAATGTTATATAAGGCAAGGGACTAACCTCTAAAATCTATAGAAAATTTCAACACTTCAACAAGAAAAAAAAAATCCAATTTAAAAATGGATAAAAGATATGAACAGAGTTTACCAAAAACCTTCAGGCAGCTAACAAACATGTGGAAAAGCTTGTGAGTATTAATCATTCAAGAGATGCAAATCAGAAAGAGCGATGAGATTTCACCTCACCCAGAATTAATAACAAACCTCCAAAAAAACCCACCCCCAAACAGAAACCAAACGCTGGAGAGGTATGGAGAGACTAGAACACCCCTCCGCTGGGACAGCCACTGTGGAAAAGTGTACGGTACTTCCTCAAACTTAGGAATAGATTACCACAAGACCCAACCATCTCTCTACTTGGCTTTTATTCTAAAGAAATAAGTCATCACAGAAACAGAGAAGTGCATGCTGAAGCTCTCATCATAGGATTAGTTCACAACAGCAACAAGATGGAAACCACCCAAATGCCCACTGATGGAAGACCGGATAACCAAGCTGTGGTTCACACACACAGTCCACTGAAGACGAATGAAGAATCTGTGAACACTCACGCCATGGTTCAGCCCAGTGGACCATGTGCTAAGTGAAACTATTCAAACATAGAAGGATGAATATTCTGAGACCACTGCATTATTTTTTTTTTAAAGACAAGCAAACGTTTCCACACTAAAAGAAATAGACTTTGATGGTCACTCCAAGTGGGGCAGGGCAAGGAAAGCAAGGGGGGAAGCCACAGGCTAGAGGGTAGAGAGGTGTTATTTGGGTGAAGGGGAAGAAGAAGGAAGATGGGGGGTGGGGGTGGGGGTGATGGAAATAAGACATGGGAGAATTGCTAAGCTGCTGAATGCAAAAGTAATGATTTCTTCTGTAAACCTTCACTCATTCACAATAAAATTTTATTTTAAAAGAACAAAAAAATCCCATGTTATTCATGTCAAAAAGAGAAAACAATTTTTAAAATAAATTTTTAGAAATCTCATGTCAAGCCTAGAATTTAAAAATCTCGATTTAGATTCTACAATTTTTACCCACAATCATGATCCCAATTCTACTTTATAAATCTGGCTAGACCAGAGAGTGTACACTGGTACAGATAGGAACTGGAAACAC